ATTATTTAAAAAATCAATTTTTTTAAATATTTTTACAACATTTGTAAATTTTTGTTTTAAATATATTTTGAATATATTTAAGCTTCACATATAACAATTATAATTTGTTGTTTTTTTATATATTTTTTTTTTTTGTGTCATTTTTATAATTAATTTTCTTTGCATTTATTTACATCGCGTTAGCCTTGAACTCGCTTATGTTACTAATAAAGCTTATTTACATAACACATTAAGTTTTCTTTTTTTTTTTGTTATTTTTTTTAATTTTTTGCACATCCATAACAGCTTATAACAAATTATTGTAATTTTTACAAATATTTAAAGAAAATATTTACATTTAATCAATTAACTCTTGTACTTATTTGTGTTTGTGTTTCGCTTAAAAATATTTATTTAATACATAAATTCGCTATTAAATTTTTTCATTTTTCCCGATTAAACATATATAATTTTTATATATAATATTGTAAATCTTTTTGGTTTTTTTTTAACATTTATTCATATTAATATTATTTTTTAGTTTTTCGCTTAAACTTTAATTGTTTTTTAAATGCAAATTTGATTAACGTTCTATTTGTTGTCAATTTTCCTTAGAGGGAAAGAGCACAAAATCTCATAGCTAAGTATTACTTATATCATATTTTCCGTTTGTCTCAATAATATCAGCTTAGAGAATTTATCATTTATTTTAAATTTTTTTTATTCATTTTTCTTTCTTTTTTTTCTTTTAGTAATGCAAAGGTATTGTTCCCCTATGTATGTATGTAAGTGTGTTTGTGTTTTTGCAAGAAATTTTACGCAATTAATTATTTACTAAAGAAGAAAAATAAACGAATTGCATTACAAATACCATAGCAAATAATAATTTACTTAATTTATCGCTTTCCATATCTTTAATAATCGCTCAATAAGCGCCTAAATGAAATGAATTTCCGTTTGCCTATTGATTTATTGCATGTAACTTAACAATATTGCGTACAGTAATCGTAGACTAAATATTCCAAATGCTATACCATACCGTTAAAGTAAGGAGTTTGTTCTCCAGTAACGCATTAAAAATTTACATTGCTTTGGATACTTAAGACATTTTTTCTAATAATTTCAGTTCTATTGGAGTAAAACTGTAGGAAAGATCGCTTCGGTTGACGGGGTTTTTCCGAAATTAATACATCAACCTTGTTAAGAGTTTGCGTACTCTTTCCAAATAGGATTGACTAGGGATTGATTGCGACCTAATTTGCAAGCCAACCCATGGTGTAAATTTATCGAAAAATTTGACATTTTTCGAAGATTTTTTGCCGACTCACGAGCTATTCCCACCTATTAACAGAGAATGCTTGGGTTTTGAAGTCAAATGAATTTATTACGAGCTATAGTGAGTGCTGTGAGGATACTTTTTTCACGCCTATAAAGGTTGAATTTTCGAAATATTTAAATAAAAATTGTACAAAATATTGTGTAAATTTCTTTTAATTGCTGAAAAGTTGGAAGTTCATTATATATATTAGAAAAATTTTAGACCGACTACCTAGATATCTTTAATCAGTTTAAAATTTCAATTTAGGAGGCATATTGTGGTAAGAGAATATGAAGAGAAAACGGGATATTTTCTTGCTGGGTCAAAATTATACCCTACGCAATCCTAAACCATTACCTTTCTCACTTTCGATGGCAGGGCGAAAAAGAGAATCTCATGTCGCATGAATATCTTTCGACCAATAGATCAGAAGGGACATGTATACATAGAAAAAGGTGATAGACTTAAGTAGTGGTTTGCAATGAAGACGTAAAGTGCCTTGAATTTTATTGGATTGATTTTTATTTTTATTGAAAATTTTAGATAAAATCCATAATGAAATTGACGTCTGTTTTGTTTCTTTTATGATTTTCGATCATGTACGTTGCTTTAAAACTGAATTACTCCAAGAGCCTGTGCTGGCGAAAATGTTTTACTTTTTCGGAAAGTTAGAGGCTTGAGTTAAAGCTTAAGAATTCTCACATTTTTTGCATATTAAACGCCCACATCGACCTTGTGCCTCAAAATTTTAAGATGCAAAGGTGTATATATCACTTTCGGGGGGTTCGTTATGGATGCGTACCCTTAGGCTATCTGTAATTTCTTCGGTGTATGTCCAAATAATTAAAACCCTTTTCTAAGCGGTTTTCCATTGAAGTCGAATAACCATTCATGGAATGATCCGAGCAGAATATTACACCAGAGGCAAATTTATGCTGAAATTTGCGAATATATTATTGAAACATGTACGGTTTGAAATGAACGCTTAGAAATGCGATGAACATTCTTAGGTTGATTAAAAATCATTTTTAATGCGATCGATATAATCGGAGTTGGAAGAATGTCTTTTGCGGTATGTTACATGAAATTTTTAAAATTTAGTCTATTTATGCGCTTTCTTTTTTATAAAAAAAATTTAAAATTCATTTTTAACGAGATGTATAAATAATATCCTTTCCTTTCACGCTCTTTCGAAATGGCATAAATCAAAGATAAACTAAATATCGTTATAGAGTGTTTTCTATGAATTTTTCAGTTGCTGTGTATGCGGGCATTTTATGCAAAATGAAATTTTTAATCTAATGCATTTCATCTATCAATTGTTGCTAAACGTAATAAGAGTAACGACAGAGTGATATTATTTGAAAATATTGATGATAAGAACAACCATTGAGATGTGTACGCAAACCAATGCCAAACGAAATTATTTAAGCCGTCACCATCATCGCCACCGTTGTCCTGTACCATTAAACGTGAAATGATTTCAAATTTTGAAATGTCAATGTTGTCGGTAAGGTTTGTCGCCACTTTAGTTGTTGCTATTGCTCGTCCTATTAATGTTGTTTTTGATATGCTGTAAGCATTTAAATGTCGATTTTGTTTAGGAGAGAGGTTACTATCGACCATTAAGAGGTTGTACACGTTATCCATACGAGGTTGAGTGCTGACTGAATGATTATGTACGGTGGGGCTGCCGGTGGCGTTGTCTTCAATTTTTGGTTGAACAATAAAAATGCCAATTACATGGAACTTGCTGCAATTGCCGCTGGCTAACATCGTCACCAAGAGCACCAACCACGCGGTTACGACAATTGTTAGGCAGAACGCATGGTTCCCCAAGTTAACGGCATTTATGTTTGTCGCAAGTTGTAGCGTCGTGTTCTCGTTCTGTTTATAAATACCATTTTCGCCGTAAAATGAATAGCTAATGATTTGTTGTTGCTGTTTTTGTGTGAAAATAGGCCTCTGAGCGCAATTATTTCCATTTGGCGTTACCGTATTGCAGAGTGCTTGAAATTGGCAATTTGCGTACGGCCTTGGGTATGTAGAACATTTGCTATTTTGCCAGCTTCCGTGGCAGACGTCGATGCTGTTGCTGTTATCACAGTTGTAACTATTTTTACTGTTAGCTTTGCTTGAGCAACAACAATGAGAATGAAGCCGCATTAAGCCACATATTCTTTGTTTCGCTATACTTATGACAACTGTCTCCGTTGATGTTCCCCCACCCCCACCACCATCTTCACCTCTTTGGCTTTCTTTGTCCTTTCGCTTTATATTAAAATGGTTTTTTCTCATTTCTTGCTTTATTGTTACATGCAAAGCTGTTGATAATATCAACATCATTGTCGGTAACAGTTTCTTTGCCTCCTTTTTGTAATTGTTCTCTCTTTTTGTAGTTGCTCTTGTGTTTTTGTATAGCATTCTTCTTGTTGATATTATTTTTGTTGCTATTCTTTTCGTCTCACACTGAGGTTTCTTCACGTATTGTTGATAGTTTGCAATTGTTTCAATTTTATCTAGAGTGGTCTTTAATGTCTGCAGCAGACTTTTCGTGTAATACATAAGACCCTTAAAAAAGCTCGACAATTGCATTTTAAATGCTTGAATTATACCATTGAGTAGATTGTATTGTGCCAATCCGCGAGCCGAATTGTGAAATGCATCGGGTGGATTACGCATTGATGCCTGGTGATTATTATTGTTGCCGCCAGTTCCTGCAAGGCAAAATCAAAAAAAAAAAAAAAAAAAAAAAAAAAATACGAAAAGAGAAAAACCATTGGAATAATACACAACACATTGCAATGATACGATAAAAGGTAAACGCATACATATACTTATAAAAAGCATTTCTTTATCGAATAGCAGAGAGTATGTTCACTTTCTGATTTCAAATGTGTTTTACATACTTCAAAATTTTAAAGCTTGAAAGGCTTCAAGTGCTCATAATTGCTTTTCGCGATATTGTTCCAACGATATTAATCGGTGTCCCTTTAAAGAGGACCAAAAAATAAAAAAAAAAAAACAATTGAAAAGCAAAAGAAAAAACTTTAGCGAACAAATGTGTAGAATTTTACAACAACACAGACCAGAATTACCAAGGATTTGATAACTCTAGCGTTGAATTAAGAATAGAGTGATAGCCGGTTTGATAAAACAATTAGTATGAATAGTAATTTAAAAATTCTACTACTAAATGGTCACAATATTTATCTTCACTACTACTTGTCGCCAGAGCGCAATATTTCCATCAAAAAGGCTCTGTTTATATAAAACTGTCTACCTAAAGACGAAAGTAGTGGAAGATATTTAGAATGCAAGTTGGTATAGAAGAATAAAATCATTCTCAGACCACACCTGCTTGTAACTTTTCAATACACTATATAGATCTTAAAGCATAATTATTTTCTAAAAAAAAAAGCAGATGAGTTTCTGCCAAAAAATAATGATCGCCAATAACTTTGATTTTTACTAAGGCGTTTTTCTTTTTCATATATAAGGGAAACTTTAGAATTGTCTTAATATCTAGTAAAAATACCTACCGGTTAGTAGATCTAGTTTGAGATATAAAGACATATGATTTTGACGGTATATGAATGTGTCACCCTAACCGAATTGATCTTTGTTCTATCTTCCAATCATACACTATGAAAATATGACGCAAGATAGTAGTACTTAAGGGGATTCATAAATCGAATCCATTCAAGTGTAATGATCAAAGGCTAAACATACACATAAACCTAGCATTGTTTAGTTACATACTAATTTAAATTTATTTTAAATCAATTGTGTTCCTCTCAGCTCGCCGTTCATGTTGCTTCTCAAGTGATCTTAACAGAGTTCGTTTTTTCTTACCACATGTCTTTATAAGCAATCAGATCAGAGTCACTTTCGTTAACTTTAACTCGACCACATATCCAAAACAGATTGCATTTCATTTGCTGGTTGTAATAGTTTTTCAACAATCATTGTCTTGATTGTTGGTCAACCACATTTATGTTTAATTTTCCCCTTAGGTATGGACTTTGATAAAAAAAAAAATAAAAGTTGTAAGTGTTAGCTAAGCCAATTTTTTCAAATTCGAAAATCCTGACACGCGTTGGTAAAAGGACGAGGCGAGGCGAGACTGAGGGATTAATGGACCGCAAACACCATCTTGTATACTACTTTTATATATCTTTCGACTGCAATTACTAATCACTCGTATACGCTGCTGTTGGCAGGAACAGTAAGATATCACTTAGCGCTACCCTTTGTTTGTCTATGGACAAGCAATAAATATATTTTTTCCACGTATTCTAATTCGGATTGAGTGCGCAAAGATATTTAATGATCCTTTTATGGGGCATATATCGATATTGCAAGCCGAATGATAATATTAATATACCTTATGATGGTGGTAGATAACTTAAAACTTTTGTTTTTTTTTTGGTTTTATGGAAACCAAAACAAGATATGAATAAAATTCATGTGGTTCAATGGTTTGCATGGTAAATTTTTTCTATTTTTTAATTTATTTTAAATGTTATAAAAATGTTTTTTTTTTTTTTCAATTTTAATTTCAAAAAGAAAATGTATATTGCATATACGTATATATGAATGCATATGAACTAATAAACTTAAATTGAAATAAAGTTTTTGCCTTTTTTAATTGAATATAATTTTTCTATTAATTCAGAAAACGGAAAATGACATAAATAAAAACTATTTCCCATTTTCATTATCATGATACGGTGGCCACAACGATAATGACGACGATGACGAAATGTGTGGTGTTTGATAAATTGCGAAAATGAAATAACATAAATTAAGGCCTTTTTGTGTCAGCAGTACTGGTTAGCCAGTATGTCTATGCTTAACACACACGCAGATGAACGCATACACACGCAATAGTTTTTCCATAGAATGTAAATAAATTACAAAAAGGGAAAGAAAATAATATAAAATGCAATAAAAGAAAAATTGCACGGTTTATCCCGAATTGTTTAGCTATCTATCCCATTAATATATGCATTCATACGCAATCATTTTCATGCATACACCTATATATTTGGACACCGTTAGTCCAATAAATTTTAGATGAGACAAAGTCATAATCGAAAGTTCAACAGGTAGACAAGCAGACACATGGACAGAAAGACAGACATTCTTAAATTCATGCTGGGCATGACTTTCTATACAACTTGTGGGTTCTTATGCGTGCTTATTTATGCTTAATAAATAAAAAATGTTCATAAGGAGAGGCTTCCCTTCCTTAGTATCCGCGACTCATAGGCTCAAAGTACAATTTCATATTTATTTAATTATAAAAGTTTTATAAATTTTTATAATTTTTTTGTTTTAAATTTTTTTTCTTTAAATTTTATATCTTTATTTCATCAAGTAGATAATAATTTTTTTTGGACACCCTTCTCTAGACTTTATAACGGCAGAAAACTCAGTTCCGTATAATAGCGCGTCTTCAGTACTTATTACCTACTTCTTAAGAACCTTATTCAAAAGGTCTTAATCATTATATTAAGATATTTTGATTTTTTTCTCGTCCGAATATATGATATACATTCCCAATTTTAGATAAATAGAATAGGTTCAATTACAATATGGGTGTAAGTATTCGTATACATATTTTAAGAAATAATTCGAAAACCTGAGCCGACATATTTTATGATCCATATCTGGTCGTTCTTCTTCTTAATAGATCAAGGGACATGTCGATGTTATGCACTTTTTTACTATGCAAAATCACTATTGCTACCTATCCTACTTTTTTTGTTTTCATTAATTTCTTCTTAACGAATACTTACTTTCGTTTAAAAAAAAAAAAAAAAAAGAGTTCAATTTTTTATTAATCTTAGATTTTTTATTAAGTCTGAATAATATTTTCGGAGAGAATGGCTATGTCTTTCGATAAATATCGCATCATAAGTGGACGAATGTAATATGGAAAACTGTCTACTTTTATTATTGTAAGCTTATTGATATGCACGACGTACATTGAATATATCTGAACTAAATTCTATTTTTCTGTTTGCATTCTGAACAGTACTTCCGTTTTGCAGAAAGATCATAGTTATGCGCAGTAACGACTGCGCTTAAAGATAACGGCATTAAGATGACGCTTCTTTCCTGGGGAAAGTATACGTCAACAAGGTGCTTGTAGACAAATGGAGAGATAAACTTTCATCCTTCAACTATATTTTCTTTTTTATATTATTTTAGCAAACAAAACGATAAATTTACTGAACTGCAATTTTTTGTTAGGGAGCAAAAAAAAAGAAAAAAAAAGAAAATACAAAAACCAACTAACCAACGACATGCAATGCAATCTTTTTATAAATAAATCACGTAGAAATTTACCACAATCACCTTCATCATCGTAGCAATCATTGCATAAATGAAAATAACATTTCCCACATCAATTTCATGGCTCGCTCGTATAAACAACAAACTGTAACAGCGACAATATGCATTGGAAAAAGGCAAATAACAAAGTTACAGCCTGGCAACAAATATAACAATTCCAAAAATTTTTATATTTAGTAATAAAATTTTTGTTGACAATTTTTGTACCTATCATCGCAACATTAATGTGCCCTATATTCTAGAGTCTTTACGTGGCATTCAGAAGAACGGAGAACAATGCTTTGGGGCAGCATTATATCGTCCTGCATTAGTCACATTCACTTTGAACTAACATAAAAAGGTAGAGCTTGGCTGCCAAAAGTATCTGCGTTAACCGTTTTAAAAAAAAAAAAGTTAAAAAAAATAGGAAAAAAATTAAAAGGTTTGAAAACTTTCCTTAAGCACTCTAAAATCACTTGCGGTTTTTTAAAGTCTGAGAGGGAACCGTCAACACTATAAATAAATCTTGCGCAGTTTCGTATATCAAGTAAATTGATATTTGAATGAATTAATTTACTTCCAGATAAATCGATTCTTTTACGCCTATTTATATCGCAAGCAGGGGGTATCTCACGTTCGTTCAACAGAGCACAAATCTTATTATTTTGTTCTGTATGAATAATGCACCAAAACATTCATAGATTTAATACAAATAACGGCATATTTTGTTATTATTAATGCTCTTACTATTATTGTATTGCATCGGTTGATGTTTCACAATTTCATGTCATACAATACGTACGCGAATAAAAATCCAATAAAAACGCCATCAATTTTCAAAGCCCGCATTTATGCAATACAAGTGCAATACCGGAGAATAAACATTGTTTACATATGCATATTCCTATATATATATATATATATATATATATATATATATATATATGTGTGTGTGTGTATGTGTGTTCATGTTTATATATAGACATATATGTATGTATATAAAGAATACATTTTGATTGACAGTGACATTGTCATGTAAAAATATGTCAGGAAAAAAACCATAATGCCTTGTATAAATAACTACATGTTGTTGTAATTGTGGGCGTTTGTTTTCATATTAACGTATATATGTTATGTTATACGATTTCTGTTGTGCAAATATCTGCATTGAAAAAAAATAAATAAAAAGTTAGTTAAATGAATAAAAATAAATCTATTCATGTGTATTTGGTTATATTGTCATCCGCGCCGTATTTGGGCACCTGGGCGTATGAATGATTGCAAGAAAATTTATTCACGATATGTTGTAATGCTAAGCTATGAATGCTATTTGCAAATATTAACTAAATTTTTTATAGTCGGCTATGTTTTTTATCCCATATGGAGCATTCAAAAATGCGGATTAAAAGTTTGATGGACTGCAGTTCAAATATTCTAAAAAATATCGAACCTAAGTATAGAGACTGTTTCGCCTAGTTTTGATTTCCTAAAATATTTATAAATCGTTTGGATTGGATGAAGGTATCAATATCTGCGTATATGCAAAGCATACAAACTTTGAGCCCCTAAATGATCTGGACTCCATAATCTTGATAAAGATGAGTTTCTAAGGTGATTGTATTCTGCTTATTTGGGAAGTCTTCGACTCTTAAGGTTTTACTCACAAATACCCTTAAACTTTTCAGCATATTTTGCAAAGACATTGATCTGAAGCACTTTTTCACAGTTGACAACTGGGTTATGCCTTCATGCACATACATTCGCCTAATCGTTCTCGGCTTCTGAGACTATATAATACGTTTATGTTTCTGAGTAAAGTGCAAGTTAAGAGAAAAACTATCAGTAAAGATGACATCTTTCTAAAAATTATTACGACATAGCTTAATATCAGTGGCAACTTAATTGTAGTGTCATAGATAAGAAAGGCATAAGGCTTTGAACAATTTGTATATCTTTTAGGCAATTTTCTTTTTTACTCCACTAGCTGTTCAAGGGATATCCCCTACTCGTGTGGATTGGGTGACACTTAAGGGGAGGCGGGCGTATTTTTGCATGTGCGACTTCAAAATAAAAACATCGGCAACTGTGGGAAAGATCCCCGCAGCAAAGTTATTCTCAAGGCAGTGGGGTTGGAATAAGAGGAGTGGTGGTAGTGCGTTGCGCGGTATTCGAGTAGTATTCAGCTTGAATGGCTGAAAATGCTGACAAAACCAACTAGCTCTCTTGATAGATTTGATTTTTTTTTAACCCTATGAAACAATTGCCCTTTACATACCTACAAATAAATACAACGCAGCCAATATTACGTCAACGTATAAGACGCTCGAGACCTTTGGACACACTCTCATGGTCCATCTGTCGTTTGAGCCTTTTTTTGCACACATTCGATGGTCCCCAGGAAAGATTAAAAGCCCAGGTTTTTGATTTTATTTTCCGACACATATTTTCTCCAACCAACATCACTTTGTGACATCAAGCCCCTTCTTCTACAATAACTCCATTAAATCCATCAGTTATTTTGTACGTTAAGAAAAAGCGTTGTCTTTTCATGGCGTTAAAGTTTATCCCGTTTGCCCATCCACGTTCAGATATATTTCGGAGATTTCGGAACCAACCAACTTTTTTACATTTCAAATATATTTTAACAGAGATTGTTAACAATCTTAAAACCATTATTAATTCACACAAGCTGTTTACTTTATTTCATCCCTTTCCCCAACAACAGACATGACAAGAATAGAGTTGGCAGATGAATTTAAAACGAAACGAATGAACAGAATATATCCACCCAAACGTCCAGATAGATCGAAAACAGACATATTATGAAACTTTTACGATGCATTAACTAACGTAATGGATATAATGATGAGAAGGTAAATACTCAGATATCCTTGCTAAGAATTTCATTCAGTGTTTTTCTTTAAATAAGATAACTGCAATTTTGAGCAAATAGCAAAGTATAGTATGAGTAAAAGTTGAATACATTTTCTATTAAGCACTTGCCAATGGACCCTTGCAATTTTCCATTTATATTCTATTGCGTTACAGCGCTAAGAACAACTTTAGTTCTTTGAAAAGTTATATAATAAAGGAGAGTTTCTCATAATTTTTATCAAGCCTTCCATTCAAGTGCTTACCACTTTTTTAATTACAAGAAAATTCAAGGGTTTTTCAACATTTCCTTGACTTTCGTCCAGTATTAATGAATTGAAAAAAAAGTGGAAAGTACTTGGAAATTTGTAAGTAATAGAATTGTTTGCGGTAATAATTGTGAATTCGGAAAAACTAATAAAATAACATTAATGCAAAAAGAAGATTTGCCAGCGCAAGTACTTACCGGCACCATCACGCCACTCTTCCACACCGTAGTCTGGTAAAACATTTGAATCTAATTTGTTTCTATTGCGTCGTTTGCCATCTTGATTTATTTTTCAAACGATTTCATAATTATTGACATTTTTTGTTTTAATTTGTTTTGGTTTTTTCATTTTGATTTTGGTTTTTTTCATTAAATAAAGAAAACGCCAAAAAGTTAGTCTCAAGGATAACAGAGAAATGCGAGAAGAAAGTTTTGCAAATAATAAGAAATTGTTACAAGTTGACGTGTTGTTGCTAATGCAACGAAAGAAAATGTGGAATGAATTTTTAAAAAAAATTTAATTTTAGATAGAACTTTAAATTAATAAATATACGTATATTTATATATTCTTAAATTTTCATTCAGTTTTTTATGAACTTTATTGCGAACCGTGCTCTGAAAAGTGCATAATTTGTTATTATAATTTATTTATTAGGAGGGAAGAGAGTGTGTGTGTGCAAAAATGGTAAGTGGGTGATGGTGCTCGTAGTTACAATTTACAACAGTATGATAATGATGATGACGACTAAGTATGTTCTGCTGTATGTTTTGTTTTTCTCTTTCTCTTTCTCTTTTTCTTTTTCTTATTTTTTTTTTTTTTTTTGCATTAAACCACTGCTTCCTTTTTACATTTTGTCTACATTTTCTTAAGATATAAGTGGCTGTCGGCCGGAGGTTTAAATAATGAATTAATTCATTCTAAGATGCGAGTTATACAGAAAACCAAGATAATTATGTATATTTTAGCAAAAAGAAAAGATTAAATGAAAGAACATTAAAGATAGTGAACTGTCTGCAACCTTTGCGAGAACTTTATCTAAATTCTCATTTATCAGATGGATTCTGCAGCACTTTGTCAAGTGTTGTTCGTCAATGCAAAAAAAGGCGGATAAGAATTTTCATTATTACTCAATGGATGAAGTAATTGAATGGTTTTATCATTTCGCTTTACTGGCCTTCATAAATTAAAAGTATTGTGGCGGGAGCATACATCATAGAGAGGCTATGGTCAACTGTTTTCTTTATTCAAGACGATTCATTTCTTGCTTTTTTCTTTTGTAGAAAAGAATATATTTTAATAGGACGGACGTTTATTACTGTTTTTGTAATCTAATTTATTCATACGTAAAAATCACTTTTTAAAATTTTCTATTTCTAGAACCTGAGTTTTCGAGCATTGGCCCGGGATCGCATTACAACTATTTTGCGATTGGAGATGAGAACACAAATCTGCAAAGACCATAAGAGCTTTGAGAGACATTTTTACTTAATGGTATCAGTGAAGAGTGCAAAGTTGGACTATGTTCTAAGTTTTTCATCAGCTTTTTTATGGCGCTGAGAAATAGGAGGTTCTACAAGCCAGCCTTTTGGCCACAAAGCCTTCGATTAGATTATTGGCGGCTGGCGTAATACCAAAAACGCGGAAGCACAAAATGTTGTTTTGCCAGATAGGCTTAGCAATTCTTACACACCATACACTTTCAGTCGATGTCACACTCCAGACGTGATGGCGTCTTTTATTGTCGATTTGTCACACTCACTGCGAATCGCCGGTCAAAATACCTGCTGTGGTCACCAGACACTACCTTGCAGACCCAATGAAAATAAACCAAACATTCCTTTAAAGTAGGTGAGTGGGGTTTCTTAAAATAAGGTTTGGCTGCTTATCCCACCGTTGCGTTGCAATGTTAATATAATAGATAGATAATTGTGTCTACTAATGAAATTGTCCTTTTTTCTAATGAACTCGATCTGTCAGTTTGCAACCAAGTTTTTTCAAGAAAAAAAATTCAAATCGGCGCCATTTCTTATAAAAGCGATTATCTTAAAAAACCCGTCTAATGTTAATAATGTTTTAAATCATATTTTCAAAAAATTGTTGCTTTATTCTCCTGAGACCAAAAGTTTGCCTTGGAACGATCAGAGAAGTCAAGCAAACGCGTTTGTTTCTTTTTTTGAGTAACTTTAGAGAAATGATTATTTTTAGCGAACTGAAGGTGATGCTAGCTCTAAAAGCAAATGTGTTTGAAAATTGTATTCATTATGTGTTCTGTAGGAAGTTTAACCAATTTCGTGTTTTTAGTAAATTAAACTTTAATTTATTCCACGACCGAAAGCTCAGAAAAAAGTTTTTTTCATTTTTTTTTTTTTGACCAAAGATGATTGTAATCTAACTTTTGGCTTCCCGTTTTCAGTTGAAATATTTAGGATAGCAAAAACTGTTTTATCAGCTGATGCTTGGTATGTACCCTTTTAGTTAATGGAAATGTTTACAACGCGACTGGAAACGGGCGTCAACAGGATAAAAACTGTAATTTGGCATATATTTCTTAAAAGCAGCTAATAGCCGTATGTACAAATGACACGTCCACATTTATCAAAGTAATTTGTTGATGTTGTTTGTTAACGATTTTATCTAAGAGGAATGCAATTATTTTATTTGTTCCCTTACAGCAATACTCTTAAGTGAAACTGAAAAACGACAGGAATATTTTTTATCAGCAAAAGACTCCGAGTTGACCTACGTACGTCTGGCCAACTACCAGTTTGTTGCTGACACAAAAGTGCTTGGATCAGATCCGCAGATCAAATTTAGAGGTGAATTAGTGAAAACTACCATGAAACTCAAAATCTTTATAGTAGCGCGGATGCTTCGGTGCTTTCAAAGTAATCCTCAAACTCATACAATATTTTTTGTTCACAGTGGCGGAAGGAATTCATAGGGCACAATAACACGATAATCGAAGAACACTGTTAACAGCACCGTGATTTTTGAACGACTTTGGTATGATTTTTTCAGTCCTGGCTCGCTATTCGCTTGATTTTGACTGATGGTTGTTCGATTGATCTGGGTCATATGCGTAGATACAAGTTGCATTTTGCGATTTCTTTGCTCAACAAAATCACAATTTGCAAACATTGGAGAAAATACTCTTTGTGTCGTTAATAAAGCTTATGACGCGAAATTCGTCCAATCGTCCGCTACCAAGTAATTAAGAAAATTTTTTCTGATATTCGATACATCCGCGCAACTTAACTTGAATATTACTTTTTGGTCAAAGAATTATACATGTATTAACATCAGTCGAACGCTTTTATATGGAAATGGTTGCAATATAGGTTATGTTTACTCTCAACTGGTTTATTATAACATCAACTTTACAAGGATGTTGTCTCAAATAGAAAATGCCATTTTAACGTAACGAATTGTGGCAGAAATCTTATTTCAAATTTGCATAGAAGTAATAATTTGGCTCTGAAGTTAACAAAATGTGTAAAAATGTTTTTATAAAAATGCATGTACGTATTAGAAATGGACAATATATGTGTGTGAAACTGATATCAAGGATATAGTAAAAAACAAAAAAGAAGTGAGAAAGTTATTCAACTCAAAGCGAATACGGGATGACGAGCACTTTCAGCAAAAAAAAAAAAAAATATAGCAAACGGGCTGATTTATTATATCCATATTAGTTAGCGAAATGAAAGTAATTGTCATTGAATTTTTAAACACTTTTTTTAATTAAGTTTATTCAATACTATATCAGGGAAAAAAATATCGCAGAAGTAGATTTCGTTGGCACAAGCAAAAATATATTTTTATGTGTCGTTACTCGCAATTTTCGCCCCTGAAAAGAGTGCACAATATATTGCTCAAATTGTTGGGCATTTTTTAAATACAAAATTTGCAAAGTCTATGGTCACTATACCTTGTTAGCCTTTCAGTCTTATAGCTTATTCTAATTTTACGGGCATTTTTTGTGCTTTGTTGGAGAGCTTGCATCTATCTAAGTTAAGAATTATCAATCACTACTTTTCAGCTTTCTATCTTCATTTTTGTAATTTTTTCAATTTGAAATGGCAAATGAAAAATGCACAAACAGACTAACGGATTTGGTTTACTTGTTAGAAAACGTCATGTAGTAGATCAGAAATGTACCGTGCGGCGGAATGTCTGATGAAACTAGCATACTTTCAGATTTCGATGATGGATGCAGAAAAATTAATACATATGTTAAACGCAATGTAGTCATTATTTATTTTTTTTTTTGAAGCATATCAATTGCATTGTACGTAGTAACATTGTGGCGATAATATGCTTAAAAATTCATTACAAAATGCTTTAAAAAACGATATTAATGTAAAGGGTGCAAAAAAATTATATATATATATAAAAACTCGCAAACACGTGAACACTATTTAAACATTGAAAGAAAAAAAAAAAAAAATTTGCCAGAAATTGCAATAATTTATCATATATTTTATACATTTATACTTTTATCATATTGTAGCACAAAAACCAGTGGTACTTGAACAAAAAAGGTAAAAAATGCTTTGCACTTGCTAGACACATACCTAAACTGCGATTCAACATCGCCATTTCCGATATGATGGCTGTAGTGGGAGCAGGCATTTCTGTGGGGAAAAAAAACAACAAATTGAAGACATAAAAACCGAAGTATTTTATCAACATTTAAATAGATTTTCAGAATTGTTCTTTATTTGTACATTTTCTGAATTTAATTTACCGTCAAGTTTAATGTTGCCATCCGTTTCGCCCAATGAATTTTTTGCTACGCATCGATAGGTACCAAAATCATTGGTCCCTACATTACGTATTTTCAATTTCATATACTTTGTATAACCACTTACCGTGGAAGTGGTTTCATATTTATCACCAGCACGTGAAGTATCTGTAAATATTTATAAAAAGAACAAAAAAAAAAAAACTTTTTTATATGTCTTTAATAAACATTTAAATTTTTCAACAAAAAAAAAAGGAAACAATTTATTTTTATTCATTTATTATATAAATAAATTTAATATGGAGAAAAAAACAAAACTTTCATATTATATTGCAGCGTTTATTATTATTTAATGAAATCCTTTTGTATTGAAAACTATTAAAATATATTTGTTTTTATATGAAACATTATGCAGATGCGTAACAGTTCATTAAACACATTTAGATAATTAAATAATTATAATGACAATGAGTGCTGGTATGCTTCAGCAAATTTCGCTTTAAATTAAGAACAAAGATATGCTAAACCGCTAATGTGATTAGGTCCATAACATTAGCAATTATGTACAGATATTGCACCATTATGTGTATCGCACTTTTTACAGCCTTGCTCTAAAAGAGAGCTTGTTCGAATGCTTATATATATGTGTTTCGTTCCGCATAATGGCCTGCAATGCATCTTTGGTAATGATGTGAAACGCTCTGATATTCAGCGTAAAAACGTCATAAGGATATCGTAGCACTTAGCAACTGTTACGAATACCATTTGACTGCTTAATATTGTCATGAGACGTGAAGTCACGTCGCTGTCTTTGCTACTTTTAGCTTAAAGGTTTTAGATGAAAGATTCAAAGTCCGACAAATGGGACTTGATTGTCTGCTTAGAAAGCCTTTGAAAGATCTCATAGTAGATATCATTTTTCATTAACTAATAATCAACATGTGATCGTTGATAGTAACAAAATGTTTGAAAAATTTTTTCCTATTTAAATTGAACATAGATCTCTGAAGGTTGACCCAGGCTAATTGAAACAGAAAAAGAAATGCAAACCTGATCATGTGGCCATAAAAGAATGCATGATTTCATTGAAAACATATAAAGAAAAAAATAATCAATGAACAATGATTGAATGTATGCTATTATTTTACGGATTAATAGTAAATCCCTAAAGATATGCTTTTGTTTATTATTTCATTGTACATCCTTGAAAGCATATTATTATTGTCAGGTGAAATACACTTCCTGATTTTTCGTTTCCATCCAAACAACGTCTTTTTAAGATTAAGTTCGGCTTTTGGGATAGCATAAGTTTTGTTTACAAGTTTTAGAGGAGAGAGATTTGAGAGAAAGTATTTATGGGAACTTGTATTTACAATGCTTTTCCGTGTCGCGTCCGTACAAATATTACGTTTCAACTCTTTTGACTGGAACAACTTTGACTTCCGCAAATACTTACTAATATTAAATATCATTGTGACATTTTCATGCTACCCCCATCTCGAGTGTTCTTAGTATTGTACTTATTCTTTTCTATAATGGTTTGAGGTGGTTGGTACTGAAAGCGAATACGATTTGCTTATTTCTTATATTTTAATATATACATCAATTCATATAATCGTCTAAACATTGGAAGGATTAAAAAATATAAGTTTACGCTCATAGCGCTCTACAAATGCAAATGATTTTCGTGCGCGTTAGAATCGAAGTATTTTATGTAGCCTTGGTGTGAAAGTGAATAAAAACGTATCGATCAAAGATCAGATTTCAAATCGATATCCTCGCCTTAGTAGAGAAATTGAAATGGCTTATGGTAATGGGCCTTTGAATCCGCACGAATATTGATCATTTTCTAGAATTTAATCAACGTGTTATACGAAAACCGTTGTCAATGTTTTTATGTTTATTAAGATAATGAAAATCGCTCGCTTTGAAATCTCAAATCTCCTTGGTTCGGATCAAACGATAAGTTACTTAAATTAAATGTAAGTGACCAGGCAAACGACGGTAGTGCGGTAATCGAAGCTGAACCAGTTTGCAAAGCTCTGCCAAGATTTGATTGCGCCAGTCTTTCACCAATTAAAAGATCTCGGATTCTCGTTTCGCCGCCTGTATCGTATGGCAAACGAAAGAACAGCCAAGTAAAAGCCTAAGCGATGGAGTAGACGACCTAATTTAAGAATAAAAACTCAGATTTCAAAGTCGATATCAATGTTACAAAGGAACAAGAATTTCAAAAATATTAAACTCGAAATTTCGCAATTAATATTCCATGGTAAAGAACAAGGTCTTGAGTGCTGTTAAATAATCGATTAACATTTTCGTTCGCGGCTGAGATAAGAAGCCATTCGCTTGGGATTTATGGGACGCGAATGGTGCACGAAGCACAAAAAATGTAGGTTAGCGTACGTTAACGTATAATAACGATAGTTTCAAACTGGGACTTCACTCGAATCATGAAATCTTTTATATAACATCTTGGACATTGAAGTAAACTACAACGAGGAGAGCGTTGCCTCTTAAGTGCATTAACACGATGACTATAAATAATGAATAAATTTAGTTTTTAAATGAATAAATTTAGTTTTAGTTTAGTTTGGGTATAAACTTTTATTGAAATATTGACGTGAGCTAATGGAAAAATTGAAGTGCAAAAAAAAAAAAAAAAAAAAAAAAAAAAAGGGAATTTGGAAAAAAACAATTTTTTTTTGGGGGTTTTAAAAAAAAAAAGACGGTGAAAATATTTCCACTTTTTTATTAGCTTTTTAATGTTTTTTTTTTAAAAAATGTATTTCCAATATTTTTATAATATTATAAAAATTAGCATATGTGTTTGAATTGCACATTAACGATTTGAAATGGAGAACGCGGAGAAAAACGAAAAATCGAATATATAATAAATTCATGTTAAAGTAAAAATTCCCAAAATAAAAAACACTGACACGGCGAAAATTTAATTCCATATAAAATTATAAAATTTTAAAACCATTTGTCATGGGTAATAAGCGTAAATAAGCTAAATTGCTTCTATTTGGCAGAAACATTTCTACGGATGCACAACAAGCACACGTACTTGCTCACATAAACACATGTGGTTCAATTAAATGCAAAACTAATGAAAAACCAAATATATTTGCACACGTACGTGTCAGTATGTGTGTATGACTATATATAATGAGTAACAAACAGCAAAATATTATGAAACGCATAACGACCACATACAGAAAATTATGTAGAAATTTTCCAAATTTACAACAACAGCATCTCACTATCATCAACAGAAGCATAATGCAGGGGATAGTTTTGAATAGTACTGCAAGCATAACTATGATATATACGCATATAACACTTTAGACATTCAGGAAATTATTTTATCATATTCATTGGGGATGAATGCTAACGCTATAGAATAGAAAGAATAATGCATGTCGCTAACACCAATTAAATGGAAATCAGGAAGAGTAGGCTTTTAATCTCATCTTGGATATTTATACATCTCCAAAAAAGAGACTTTTATCCAGTTAAAGACTTTCTAATACGCCGGCCGGGCGGACTTTGAAATGTAATGTATTTTGAGATTTGCGTCTTTATTACAACTAATGGGCGCATTAGGTTGACTTCCAGCTTAGTTCTGTAAGATTGATCTCACAATAAATGCGAATAACATCGGCCTTCTAGCTCAAGTTTTCCCACAACAACACGAATGCATTGACTTAGTAACTAATTTAGAATTGTAGTTATATCTCTAATTGTTGCAGAATGTTTGAAAAGAATAACACCTATACATGATTATAATAATAAGAGAACATGATTGGTGCCACACATGTAAAAACAACTCGTTTCTCTGGTGAATATGCATTACTTCATGGATCGACCGGCTTTTGTTAAGCTTAAGATTTTGAAACTTTTTAAAATTTTTGCTTTTTAAAGATTACTTTATATTTCTACCTAAAATCGAATTCCCCCAAGTTCAGATCTCAAACGAATATATGCACACTACATGCAACTTTTGAGGGAAGTTTACTATGGCACTTAAGTGTAACAGAAATCATAACAAACTTAGTATAATGTCATTATTCGTTTGTATATATGGGAAAATATGGACAATAGACGCGGAATGTGGGAAAATATTTAGTCGCGAGCCTAAATTCCCACACATGCCCTCACAAAGCGCATTAAGCTTAGATAATACGTTTACACTTGGCTGTTGCTGTAAACGAAAATATTTAACATAAAATTAATGAGAAGAGCGTGGCATTGAGCTATTCATTCAAACGCAGCTGAACATACGCAGACCGACAGACTGCAACAATTCAGACAGTTTTTGCTGATAGACAGACAAAATGTACTACGTTAATACCATTTAATGCTATTGACAATCGAATATATATAAACCGATATTCATATATAATCGTGCATGGAAAATTATATATATGAACGTGCATGTAATCCTCTGTCTTTTTGATCCAAATTCTCTTCTTCTCCCCCTATACTTCCCCCATCTGTAGAGAAAAATAATTTAAAAAAAAAAACAAAAAAAAAGTAAATGAGGAAAAAACATACACGGGACATTATAAAATTGTTAAATGACGTTGTTTTGCATTGTAAGGCAATAATGATGTTGTTGATGACGATAACGTTTATAGTAGTGAGTGCACTTTGTTTATGCTATTGTTTTATCCGCTTTTGTTTACAACACATATAAGCATATCGGTAAGTACGGACATGTGTGCACATTTTGTTTAAATGTTTTAACATGAGCATTGCAGTTAACCACAATTGCTTGCGTTATTATTACATAATTAAATGTAACACAATTCTGGACTTTTGCTAACAGATACGTATATCGACACAAATGCATTGCTTTACGCATAGATTCAAGCACATGTGCCTGTGGATATGCAAACTCATGTGTATGTGTGAATACGAATACTTGAACGATTTGACAATTACATGGTAAAACAATTTAATACAATTTTTTGTTTTTTTTGGTACGTTGCCAAATATAAAATTTATAATAAATGCGGAAAATATACATATTGTGACATAAAAACGAAACAAAAAAAAAAAAAAAACAAAACTAGAAAAGTCAAGGAATTAATTTAAAAGAGAATAAAATCGAGACGTTTCATATTTGGCTCGAACTGCACTTTTTAATGTTCGCTAATAGA